ACATGCATTTGCAGCACAAGCAGTATATCCACACTGGTGAAGAACCACGCCTCGTATTGTGAAAACTAAAACAAAGAGATTCCATCGTGGGCTTATTTACATTCAACTCATTCAATAAATAAAGAAAATGTAATGTACCGGGTGCGCCTTGCTGCTCAGTCATCGAAGATAATAAAAGTCCCTCACGTGAGATTAACCTCGCGACTCCAGCAATCTCTCTCTCTCTCTCCCTGCATTCGGCATAAGTGAGCCAAACCGGAAGTAATAGTTTCAAGAAATATGGTTGAAAAAATTAATTTCACCAAGATTGAACAGAAAACCAGAACCATACAGTTTTATAGCCGAGGCAAATAAACACACAGACATAAAATGTAAGACTCAAACAAAGATTCTCGATTTCTGTTGACAACCAATCGAAGGTAATATGAGCGGCAGCGCATCTGCAAAGTTGTGAAGCGTACAGACAGGTGTTGATATTTAAACCTATCGCATAAATCGGACATTTGTGGTCATAGTACTCATGCTGATACGTCGAGGGTACATTTCTTCCAATTCATCGCCACTATTTTAGGACCGTCAAATCTTCTTCCATGCATTTGCAGCACAAGCAGTGTATCCACACTGGTGAAGAACCACGTCTCGTATTGTGAAAACTAAAACAAAGATATTCCATAGTGGGCTTATTTACAATCAACTAATTCAATAAATAAAGAAAATGTAATGTAGCGGGTGCGCTTTGCTGCTCAGTCATCGAAGATAATAAAAGTCCCTCACATGAGATTAACCTCGCGACTCCAGCGATCTTTCTCGCTCTCTCTACATCCGGCATAAATGAGCCAAACCGGAAGTAATAGTTTTTTAAAAATATGGTTGAAAAAAATAATTTCACCAAGATTGAACAGAAAACCAGAACCATACAGTTTTATAGCCGAGGCAAATAAACACACAGACATAAAATGTAAGACTCAAACAAAAGATTCTAGATTTCTGTTGACATGGCAACCAATCAAAGTTGTGAAGCGTAGCGGTGTTGATATTTAAACCTAACGCATAAATCGGACATTTGTGGTCATAGTACTCATGCTGATACGTCGAGGGTACATTTGTGACACGTGTCAATGGCATCTATAGAGGACTTCTCCGTCAAATCATGACACCAAGGAGACTCTTATAATCGCTTGGCCAGTTATTTACCTCCGGTTAGTAACATAAGTTGGTGATTAGTCCGTCAAATATTTTCCCGTCATTCGGCAGCAAAGTGGGCATCCATCAATGACTGATGAACAGAACTTCCATCAGTACTGACGGAATGCCCACATCTGCTGGTCAACACCTAGTCCGGATGAGCCACCAATTGATTGTGAACTGATTGTGACGTGAAACCGAACGCTAACCAAATACTTGTGTTGGGTGAAAGTCATTCAGCACATTAAAATGACAAGGAGACTAGTTTGCAACAGTAATGTAGCTAGGCTAACCACAATGTAGATAAGCTAACTGGAAATAATCAGATACAGGTAGCCTAGCTTCTTCTGTTCCTTCTTCTTCTACCGCTACAACTTTTTATTGTTCTTTGTATTTTCTGAGCTCTAGCGAAAAGTTGACGAAACAAATAAAGTGCGACTGTGCTTCCAAGTGAGGGACGTCAGGGCTAGCAATATGCTTTTGACGGTACATCAAACGACCAAACTCATTTTAAAAGGTGGTTAAAAATATCAAAGCGGTTCGACGATGAATGGATGGATATACTGCACGTGTATTTTCAGAGGCTATATTTACCAATAAATTTAAAAAAAAATGTTCTTAGCTTCTAATAACGTGGGTCACAACAATTTGCAACATAGGAAACCGTGAGTCCCAGGATGACAACAGTTGAGATCCAATGATCGACACTATATAAAAGCAGTAACGCACACGATGAGGGGAAAAAAATTGTGTTTTCTCAAAATAAATAAACTGATAAATAAATAAATAAATCGGTTAAATTAATACCTGTATGCGTGCAGTCCGCTTTTTACATAATGAAAACTATATTGACTATCCCAAATTATACATCCAACGGGTTTGGGCTACATAGGCCTGTATTTTATTCCAGATTAGAAAAATTGTGTATCCTGCTGTAGGTGTAGCTGCAAACATGTTTCATTGTGACAGATTTTACATTGGTTCGATATTTTTAGTTATTTAAAGAATTGCAAGAGAAAAATATACATCATGATTATTGGCTTACTCAAACACAAGATGTTTTAACACGTAGTCTTTCGCACAATGACTGAGCTGAACTGAAAAAAAAATCGTGATTTTTAAAAATGTTATGTGTTTTATTTTTTGAGACTAAGTGCTTGAATGTTGTCTTGTTCTTTCAAAACTGGCTCGGGAATAGTCAGTAATTGCAGTGGAGAGCAGAAATGTGCACATTATAGTGATGAACATTATTGCGTGTCTAATAATGTCACGTATTCTCCGGGGTGGTCCTACGCAAACAAATGCAAATGCAAAGAACTCCTCTGCATCCCACAAGCAAGGTGTGTGCACACCCATGATTCCTTTTCGTTTCTTTTCATCAGATGGTTTTGGATGATGCAAACAGCCAAAGCAATTGCTGCACATTGTCGTGCAAACGCTCATGCCATGCGTTCACCTCTGTGACTTTCGGTTTTGGGCAGATGAAGGAAAGCATTACGAAAATGGAGCTTTAAGAGGACACGTGGAGGAAATAGGAGAAGAGGATGAGGTAGAAAAGGTGTGAGGCAGACGAAGACTAGCTCCATTTTGGGTGTGCGAGCAGAGGCATGATTGCGGGGATATAGATCTGTGTATGTTTTCACATTGTCATTTTGAAGTTTTAATTGCACAGCACTTTGAGTCGCATTTCTTTCTTTTTTTTACGTATGAAAACTGCAATATAAGTAAAGTTTGATTGATTCATTGAGTTTGCATCCGGCGACTGAACGGATGTTTCGACAATGAACTAAAACTTGCGGGTGCGAGTCAACGTGAACGTAGTCGGTGGGAGCTCAGGCAATCAAGATACAGTCAAACCTCAATTTTCGTCCATAATCCGTTCCAGAAGGCTGTTCGAAAACCGAATTGTTCGAAAACCGAAACCACGCTCTTTTTAAAAAAAAAAAGTTGATTGAACACGTCTGGTCACAATGGAAAGCGACACGAGGAAGCGTCACTTCCTCGTCTACCCGAGGAAGCGTCATTTCCTCGTGTAAGGAAGGCGAGAGGAATCAAGTGGTGCATTCAAGTGCGCTCAGTTTGGTCGAGAACCAAAATTTATTCGTCATCCGAGGCATAGAAAACTCTAAATTTTTGGTCGAAAACCGAATTGGTCGAGAACCGAGACGTTCGAAAACCAAGGTTTGACTGTATAATGAAAAACTGGCACAGTAATTCTTAGTCAAGTTCATCAAGGACATTTTGAAATACCGAGAGTAATGAGTCCTTCAAATAAAACACAGGAATAAAATTATCAATCAATCACGCACACCCAGTATACATTTGTTCTTTAAATCTCCGATTGAATTTGCGTCATGATTTCGACGCTGCGTATTCATCACATGTTGACACCAATTCCAATGTCAATATTTGCAACCCAAAGAATATATTGATTTCTCATGCAAAAGCTTCACATTTTGGAGAGCACATTCCCTGTTTCAAGTCTAAAATGTGATTAAGAGTTAATGAGCCCGAATGGGCTATCTGAGGGAACAGTCACTTGTTTTCTACTTCCTCCTTTGTTTAGACTATTTATAGGAATGGAACAACCACCAACCCGCTAGCCCCCCACCACCCCCCACCCGTGGTGACAGCAGTCAAACAATGTGTCTCATCTTTTCTCACAAAAGCCGGCGCATAAAAACACTATCGGTGTTTTGTTTGTTTCTTTTCAAGACACCCCTGCCGAGTTTAGACGTTGGCATGTGGAAAACAAATCCTGACGTTCCTCAGCAAGGCCAAAAGTTGATTTTTTTTTTTTCTGTCATGCCAAGTTGATGACGTGTGTACTATATTTGCTGGCATCAGTATTTTTTTTTTTTTTTGTGTGGTGTGTGTGTGTGATGAAGAACACATTTCTACAATATCCACAGCAATTCAGGCTCGGTGAAGCCACTCGAATCGAAAAAGTGAGTGGAAAATTGCACGCAATTGTGAAACATTGTGTCGTAAGCCAGTGACATCATCCACCCATTCTCAATGGCGCTTGCCCGTAATAGGATCAAGGGTGAGTTCGAACTTCTCCCAACTGATTTTGCTTGGGAGGCGGACCGCGCCGCGGGACTGGACACCCAGACAATGGCTGATATCATCACTTCTCTATCGAAGTTGAAGGCATCATCGAACCCTTGCTTACTATTCAAAAATTGCGACTGCTCTGTGCCAATATTTGTCATTAGGCTATGCTATAACCAGGAATAATAATTTAATATTGGTGCACCTGCTCGCTTGGAAAAAAAATGCTGTGCAGTGTGCCGCTTTATGATGACTGTTTCTATTATTTAATCTGCGGCTGAAAGTGGAATTCCAAAAATATATCTATATATCAGATAGCAGAAAGAGAGTATGATTGTTTTTCCGCGGACGATGTTCCATCATTCCATTTGAAAAACACCACTGATACAGTATTCCTTTCACAGTCTTCACACACACGACTGAGGGATGAAAACCATTCATATAGGACAGAACCGAAGACTCTGCAGTCTGGCAAACATTGAAAATAAATTTTGGAAGCTTTGTCACTGAGAGGCGTGCTGGAACATTGCAGTGAGTTTCAAATTAGATGTACATGTTTAGAGTTAACGTTGCCGTTCTGGAATTGAGTCATCGGAACAGATTTTTTTTTTTCCATCTGCTTCTTTGTGTATGAAATGTTTGTGTTTCTTTATATGATATCAAATGTCCACAGATGAGGTAATATGGTGCAGGGCTTCAGTTTGAGTTTAGCAACAAGCAGGCAGCAAACATTTGGCATAGGAAAGCAAAAAGAATCTTACTTGTTATGTCAGGAGTCATGGGGTGGAAAGTCTCTGTGGGGGAGAAAAATATACCGTAAACAATAAGTACTAAATGACAATTTATCACACTGAATTCAAAATGCTGGTAAGAGTCTGGCACTTCATATTTTTGCCAAATAAATGATGGGAGGAGTCAAAAGTCAAGTACGTTATCAGTCCCGTTATTCCCGGATGACATCTTGCTACTTTTTCCCTTGCGTCTTAAACAAATTTATGGATTGTTTATGGGCTAACAAGCTTGATGCCGCGATTACATTTAGGGCCAATCCCAATTCTACCCCTTCGCCCTCGGTTGTGAACGATCACAAGAGTGAAGGCGTTTCCCAATTCTCGGAGGGCTTGGTCTCACAAAACTTCGCGAAAGCCAAAAAAGGAAGGAATTCCCAGATATGCCCAGATCATCTCCGATTATTGTGAAATTCGTGCATTGGCATAGAAGGGAGGGTCTATACATGTGAGTGTGACAGTCTCGAGAAATTACAGTCATTAAAAGTCCCCCCCCCCCCAAAAAAAAAACATCAAAAAACGATTCACAATATGTTACAATGTGGACTTTTGCAGCTTCTCGACAAGTGTGGCTTGGGTATGTGCATCTCTTTTTTTTTTTTTTTCAATTTAGCGGCTGCGTCTTATCTTTAAGTGCAGTCAATCGCCCTGAAATTATATTAATCTGAATATAGAAGTAAGTGAGGAGAAATGCAGCTTAGAGCCATATGTGCCTTTTTCATTTTATGAGCTGCGGTTTGGAGGATGAATGAACGAATGCCTTTTAATGCCTCAATTTCAAAATAGTCCTTTCCAGAATTGCGCAAAAACGTTTTTGAATGCGCTCATTGTTTCCTTTGTCAATGCTGGAAATCATGACGGTGAACGGCTGGGAAAACGGACGATTTTGAAAGGGGCGGTAGATGTCAAATATTGAAACACAGGCTAAAGTTTACAGCTTTATCTCAAATGTGAAGGGGCATCGAGTATCACCACATTACAAACTGAAGGCGAGCGCACAATAGGAGAAAATATGGAAAGTCAACCTTTGCAGGTCTCTCTCTGTTTCAAACAGACGAGCAAAAGTAGTGATAACTGTGCGTGTTTGCGTGTGTGTCAGACCGTCACGCACACACAGCCTCTCGCTCAAAATGTTGCTCGCAGGCACTTTTCATTTGTTGTTTGAAGGCTTGCTGATGACCCAGACGGAACGGAAAGGGAACATGAGAGACCAGGAGAAGAAAGATGGGGAATCGGAAAAATTACAGGGTGGAATGATGCTGGAGAAAACTAAAGGAGAGAGATGTGTAATAAAAGATAAATCAGAATCGTGCCCAACGGCACTTTCTGGCCTAGTTTCATTATTATTTTGCCTTCTTAATGTCTGTAAACGCAAACGCTAACGTGATTTCCTCATTGCGACTTGCTTGCATTCACTCTCTGGTGAGAGACAATCTTTGGGGTTGCGATGAAAAAGATGTCCAATAGGTTTCCAGACTTACGTGTACACTGCTCCAGGTTGATCGTGTTACTCAGGTGGATGTTATCTATTCGGATGTGGCCTCTGGTTGGATGCTCAAAAAAACCTTCAAACACCACCTGCGCCACAGACGAAATATGTACGTACAGGAGCGCATGAGATCAATTGGATTACAGCGCTATCTTACCTGAATGTCAAGTTCTAATGAGATCCTGTACATAAGCTACGTCACACCTTCTGCCTTTCACAATGATAATAAACGCTTGATTTGGAGACGAGATTGTCATTATTTCACCAAGCAGACTATTTGTGACCTTTTTTTTTGTTTGGTGGCTTACCGTGAGATTTTTCTCATGCAAAATGGGTGCCTTGGCTTAATTTCAAGTATCTACCTGATATTCCTTGGGGCTTTGGGGCAGAATGGTGCGGCCCTCCCTCCACTGAGGCCCCTGATCTCCTTTTAAAGACCACAGCAGCGTCTCCTCTTGGTCGTCGTCCCTCAAAAGGACCCTCAGGCTCCCGAGCGCCTCGCCTTGCAGCTGATAGTGAAAGAGCAGGCAAAGCGGGCCTTGCTCGGGGGCCACCTCTGGGCTCAGGAGCCTCGCGCGCTTGCGCTGGGTGTGGGCCCCAGCGTCCAGGTGGAGGTAGTTTCCTGAGAAATCTGTCAGAAAGAAAGAAAGGGGTCTTATAATTACTATTGGTACACCCATTTAGATAAATGGTACATATTTACTTTTTTTGGGGTATGTTTCTGGCCCACTGCAGGTCATTATAGAATCGGTCAAAGCAATTCATTTCACAAGAGGCGGGGGGGGGGGGAATGCCCAACTGACTTTGTATCACAGCTGGAAGTGGTTACTCGGAGCTGAGGACATTACCACCATCCTTCTGCGGTATGTGGCAAAGCCGCAAATGAAACCACCATTTCATCATGGCCACTAATGGCCGCAGCCACACAAATGCGCATGCACTCACAGGAAACACACCCGCGCACACACATACATACACAGCTCTTATAATGAATGCAGACAAATATACAGTGCAATACCTTTATCCTCCCCCCCCCCCACCCCCCTGCCTCTCTCTCTCTCTCTCTCTCTCTCTCTCTCTCTCTCTCTCTCTCTCTCTCTCTCTCTCTCTGTCTCCTCCCCCCTCCCTCCATCCATCCATCCATCCATCCGCTTTGGTAGCGACAACATATCACATCTAATGAATAATGTATTTGGGCTGAGTTAACTCTGTTTCTCTACTTGGAGGCATTAAAAAGGAGACCTAAATTACAGTTGCTCATTAAGTACATTTAGGAGGGAGGGAAGAAAAAAAAGTTGCTGTTTCCTCCTCTCTTTTCTTTTGATCTTGGCCAAGATACAAAGGAAGAGAATTAATTAACAACTCTCCACGGGCAAACTAGGCGGAGGCGCTCGGAGGGAGTGTATTAGTGCTCACGTGAGTATGCGTGCTCATTTTTTCGATATGCAGCTCATTTCGAGAGATTTGTTGTGTGTGAGTGAAATGATAAGTATCGCGGTTTGTATTTGGGATGATCCGTGGGTGCTGCACTTGTGCACGGGGATCCTCTCGAGATTCGACCGTCGTGATATGCAGTGAATATAAAAAGTCGACACATTCGATGTTAAAATGCCATGTTTTTGTGAGATTAAAAATGTACCCCAAGAGAAATCATTTTCAAACCTTTTCCACCAGTAATGTGACCTGTACAATTCAACGGAATAGATTGAAATCGTTTTGAAAGGAAAGGCAAAATAAGCAACTGAGACCGGGAATGTGACTGTTCAATTGACATACCAAAGAGGGGCGTGGAGACTTTTTCAATACACTCGATTATAGGCGCATCTCAAGGCATCTGAGAAGTTCATTTAGTTCAGCGTAGTTCAATTCAAAAATGTTGGGTTTTTTTTCCCCAGGACATTTAGTTACTGAGACGTTCTTATTTTCCATGATAATTTTTTTGCGGGGAACACTTTGTACTTTCCTTCAAATTATTAAAATAAGCGAGGACGACGGCCTGCATCACCTTCAATTATATTCGACTCGAGCACTTTATTATTTCACACATTTTGTAGGCACTACATTTTTTTTTTTGGTTTCAAATTCGCATCAAGGTCACATCCACCAGTCGACAGACACGAGTCATCAGACTCGCAGCCACTCGTGTGAACTTTGCCATAATTAATACATAGTGACACAATTACAGGGCAAAATAGTGTTCGGGTCTGAAAAGGCAAGATAAGACTCCCAGAGCGAGCTGACACCTATTTGACCTAAAGCAATTCAAAGCAAATGTATTAGGTGTTTCAAATTGATATCCTAGTCAGTGGCTGTGAGTGGCTTTTTTGCTGCCTTTATAAACTCCTTTCTTTTGCTTTTCAATTACAGGAATGTCGACCGTGGAGAGGTTCTTTCTGTGAAAAACTCACCAGGGTATAACATTCAGTCACGGCCTATCTGAGATCAAAAGGATCCCTTTCTCGGGCTCCGTTCTGTTCAGGTCGGGCTTTTTTGCTTTTAAAGCCGCTCAAAAGAGCTTTCAGTGACAAGTGCGGGGTTTTGATCTGCATAGGGAGACGGCTTGCAGACAGGGTGCTGGGCGCATGTGGCTGTAGAACACGACTTAATGTCATGTTGCTGTCTCACAGGAAACTCGCTCTCCCTCTATCTCTTACTGCCAAATATGCTTTCTCATAAGCTCGCACAGTCAGAAAGCCTTGAAAACACACACACGCACGCACACACACACACATGCACGCGTGCAGCCTGTCTTTTCACGTCGGAGCTGTGCAGTCAACCTGAAAGTGTTTGGCTTTGATAACCAAATAGAAAGCCTCGGTATATGGCAAGGTCATGTCTGTGCATGGGCGGGGGGCTCTTGAGCGTTCAATATGTGGGCCGACCCACCTTGAGTGGTTAAATATGTGTGTTTGTGTCTGCAAGTAGCCTCAGGGAGAGCTGGAGAGCTAAGGCTGCACTTCTGTCAGAGCCATCATCTGATTTATCTGACCGCTGTGGGCCCCGTGCGTGCGTGCGTGTGTGTGTGTGTGTGTGTGTGTGTGTGTGTGTGTGTGTGTGTGTGTGTGTGTGTGTGTGCGTGCGTTTGTACAAAAAAGCAAAGGATACCTCGGGCCGTCTTAATAAAGATGAACACACGTGAAGAGCACAAGTGACAGAAACAGGAAAAGGCTGTGAGAAGATGTGATAACGCTGATGGACGAGGAGACGATGAATGAACTGGATGCCGCACTGGATGACAGTAGCCACAAAATCAGTGACTCGAGTAAATAAATGGCGGAGTAAATCAGTGTTTCTCAACCTCTGCTGAGCTAAGGCAAATCATTTACAAATCAAAAGTGTCACGAAAAGTTAGAGCTGGGTGATAAATTGGTAAAATCAATTGAGTTTTTGGGTCAGGCCAATTTTTTTTTTCTTGTCCCTCTTTCAAAAAAAAAAAATGGCTCCAGTATTCTGCTGGCAGGCACTGTTTATGTCGAAGACCTGGTGGGCAACAGAGAAGAGCGAGTTTACTAAAGAGGCACAGTTCCATTGGTCTTTTGGAATTTGTTTGAGATTGTAGCTTGAGACACTGAGTAAAAACAGCTCGTTTACAAGTAGATTTTACCCTTTCAGGGACAACGGTTACTACAGTGGACAGCTTATCATGCTATCAGGTTGCAGGTTATCATTAGTGGTGCATGAAAGGGTTAAAAGACTGTTGAAACCAAAACCAAACTGCCTGGAGAGCTTTTATGCAGGATTTTGTTGACATTTTCAGATATAATGGTTCATATTGTATGTAAACATAATTTTTTTTAAATTTACACTCGTAGAAAGGGTTCTGTCAGTCGTCATCTGTACCTGTGACAGAACCCTTTCTACGATGGAACTTTCCTGTACGACTGAGAGCCTCCACGAAAATTTACACTCATGTTTTTTGTGATGTAGATGCCCACCCCCAGGTGGATGCCCAGGGTCACCACCCCTGTTAACTTCCCCCTTCCCCCGCCTCAGTTTACAAATTCACATTGTGTGAAACGTGGGCCTGTTTGCTAATTATATGCGTTTATCTTTCGTTGCATTGTCCTCTTTTAAAGGGATGCTCACTTGCATGAGATAGGGCCACTCCCCTCAAAACTGGCTCAGTTTAGCTCAACAATCAATCGGGTGCATAAAGTGGTTCTAAAATGATTGAGCCATGGGGTGTTTTGACAAAAGTATTCTTTTTGAACATACAATAACAGTTTTAAAAAGAAAAAAAAACCCAATGTAGCCCATTTAAACGTGAATATGTCAGTGTTTGTCGAAATGTTTTAACACTACAAGGCTTGGAGGCAGAGAATAATCGATCGAAATCTGGATGAGTCAGCCATGTATCCTGGGGTCACCCCGTTCATACATGGAAATATCCGTCGTGAATTCTGAAAAAGCATCTGGCACACATGTAAGTACTCACTCTCTGATCCCAGTGTCAGATCCAGCCTGGTTTCATGTGGGCTATGACCGGCAGCGCTGCTCCCGGCGATGTGCAAGGACCAGCTGACAGCTGATTGGGGATCCGCAGACCAGCCACACAGGCTCTGTTCAAAGTCACATACGGCCCACAGCGACGGAGTGGTGGCTACGACACAAAAACACGCACATGCGGTCAAGTTTGATTTTCACAAAAAGAAAAAAAAAATCTTTTACGTCATGTTAGACCAATTTCAATGACCGCCGACTTCCCTCTTTTCTTTCTCTGTGTCCTAACATCTGGCTTGGGTAAATTATGTGCGGTAGCTGGCAGGAAACCACATTTGGTAACTTGAGATTATGTCTCAAATTGTCATTGCCTGTGCCAGCATCGGACCATCATTCTCAGCGGAGGAAACAAAACTTGATCATAAAGATAATAAGGCACTATTACCAAACGCATGTGAATATAGTGACAGTGTCAGCGAAAATGCACGGAGGGAATACAACCAGAGAAATATGACAATATACTGCATCTGTATAACGTAGAAGTTCAAAAAGCTTGCACAAAAGTTGACATGTTTCATAACATTAGATGAGGTCCCTATAAAGGCTTAAAAGAGACATCCCGCTTTTATACTACTTTCATAGATGTTCAGATCTCATGGACACAATTCAATTAGTTGGGACAAGCATGAATATTTCACTAAAACGAGGACACTGTCGGAAATGGAATCGAATGTATTCCAGTACATGAAGTCAAATGCATGCACTTTTAAGGGCAATAAAATAGCATTTTCCAGTAAGATGACTTGCCAGAGAGAAGCCACTCTCTGTCATATTCATGTGAAGCCTGCGTGCGCGCGTGAGAGGATGTGAGGTCTGGTGGCCGCGAGATCCTATTTTCATTCACACAGAGCTTCATCAGGGACTTTTGATTCCAGCAGACTTCAAAGCGCAGAAACCCAGCGGTGCACGATGACATCAGCAGATTGACCTTAAGTGCAGCCTCGTATGGGCTGGTTGCCTGGATGGAGATTGCGGCTGCGTGCGTGCGTGTGTGTGTGTGTGTGTGTGTTTACCAGGCCTCAGTGCTGCAGTGGACTGTTCCACCCTGGGCAGCGTAGGGGTCGCTGTGTCAGGCATGGTGGTTGTTTCTGGGAAAAAAAAAAAAAAACAAAAAAAAAAAACAACAAAAAGATGTAAAGTGTAATTAATACGGATTACACAACCACCTTACATATGACTAATACCATTGAGGATTTAGCACCACCACCACGAGTTTATTTGATGGAATAATGTTTCATCTTAAATTCTTATGAAGTACAGTATATTCCGCACTTGCCACACACACACACACACACACACACACACACACATGATAGATGGCGCACTCACGGCGACCTTGGTGTCAGCGGGCCCACGATAAATCAAAGAGTGGTGCAAACACCAACACATCAGCTGTGGGCTTTGTCAGTAAACTGGCCGTGATAACCACTTTTCCAAAGTCGCTTTTCTAAACACCGGCTCAATGTTTAACCTGCGCCCCTTACATGGTCGCATACACACATGCTCCGAGTGTCGACATATGTTTATCTGGTTCCTGTCACCAAGTTATTTTCAGGAAAGTACTGTCTCTTATCTTCTGTCCTTCACTCATCAGTTTTTTTTAAGCTTCCAGCAGTACCTCAGAAGCTTTTTTTGGGGACAAACATTCAGCCTCTCCCTTCCCCATCAACACACACACAGAAAGTGAAGTCTAAACGACTTCTTTTTCGTCTCCCTGAGGAATGCTGAATGTCATGTGTATGTATCATTCATATGTTCTTCCAGCCACAGTGTCTGACATGCTGTCTGCTGTGGTCTGGTGGCACCTGCACACACCAGCCAGTATATGTCACAGTGGCTTGGACATTTACTGTACTGAGAGTTTTCACAACTCACTTGATGATTTGCATGCGTGATTGTTGAACCTTTACTTGCAGTAATATTTATACTTAATACGTAGCCTTCATGAGACCAAAAGTGGTTAGGAATGAACGTTCATTTGCTGTGTGGCATTTTTCAAGTTGTTGATGCCGTCGATTCAAAATTGTTACGTGTTAAGTGGTGCAATTAGCCTAATTAGCCAATGCCTGATTGTGTCGAAAAGATAATTCCGAGTGACGATCCTATGGTGCGGAATGATTTGTTTTTTTCCCTTCCACTTCTTGCTTGTTCAATCTTGACAATCGCAAATCTGTGTGTATTTTTTCACTACATTTCCTTCTTTGTATTTTCTGACTGTTTGGATGCTCTACTGCAATACTGCCTCTCACTGGTCAGTATTGTTACTACCACATAAATCTGATATATCGTAGGGTTTGAATGACTTCAGATTTTTTTTTTTTGTAGTCGACGCTAAATTGACATCAGTTAATAAATGATGTCATTAATTTTTCAATCAAGCACTTGCTGCGCACGCTTTCGCCTCCAAACCTGAGCTCACTTTCCAGCCTGCACTTGGTTGCCGGCCACACCCACAATTTGTTCCTCCAATCACATTCCGATACTGTGCCTTCATTCAACAGACAGGACTCCAAATTCTCACACCAGTTAATTTAACACGTAACTGAAGGATAGCTACTCGCAATAGGATACACTTCAATAAAAAGTAGGAGGAATTGCCTGAAAGAATGGAGCAGACAAATAAAAGGGTTGAAGGAGATATGTTTAGAAATAAAGACATTACAATGTTTGACTTTTTTTTGTTTGGCGGCATACCGCGTTTTTGGACCAGACTTTCTATAGGTGATATCACACAACAATGTGAGAGCAGAAAACAAGAAGAAAATCGGAGAAGTCCGATGCGAGTTTGTTTAAGTCAATACACGGTGTGGATTCTCGATTGTACCCACAATGGAAGGATTTGTAGTTTTAAGAAATATTCAGACTACTGTCCCAACACACGCATACGGTGCATGCAGGAACAAGTACAGTCAATTGTCACGACACCGGATCAGATATTAACACAGGATAAGTAGCTGCCGGCAGCTGACATTAAATGCTTTTAATTCAGTGCCCTTTACCTCTGTAATTACCCCCCTCTTGAGGAGGGGAAAGAGGAAGTGAGCATAGGGAAGGGCAGACAGACATGAAGACATGAAAGACATCACCTATTCAAGTGCCTCAGCGTCACCTTCCATATTAATGACCACACACAGCGTTTGTCAACCATATCCTGGAGCTCCATTTCATCTGCTTGATTTTTGTCCTAACCAGCAATCTGTTTCAATCCTTTCTCCGAATCAGTTTGTACGATGCTAGTGCAAATATGATCCAATCAACCGAATTATTAAAATGTTTTGAATTGTTCAGGCTGTTGGTTATATTTTCTTTTCGATTCCAATAATCATCCTGCGCGTGGAGCAAAAGTCTTGCAACTTCAAGTGAGAAACAGGTGCTGAGTCCCATCCCCCCCCCCACACACACACACAGCCTCAGGCTTCATTCTAAAGCTGCTGACTAAGCAGCCTGAGGTGGAAACAGAGAGACGAGAACTGTTCAATTATGGAAAGAGCTCTGGGTATAAATCTACCTCTGTCTGCTTAAATAATGACTACCCACATTTTGTGTGTGTGTGTGTGTGTGTGTGTGTGTGTGTGTGTGTCAAACAGAGAGAAAATACTGTGAATACTTTGTGACATAGCGCATGGTGTGGGGATTTCCTCTTTTTCAGGATTTAATGACAGACTAAACATCTTTGTTTCGGCGTAACTGCAGAACTAAGTCAGTGTACCTGTGGCAAAATTATGACTTGGTGATTAAAGACAACTTTAAGAAGCAAAATGACTTCAAATATGTTGCAACTTAAAATTTTAGACCCGATATGATGACGAATTAGGATGCCGAAGGGTTTGATAAAAACTGTGGGAAATTCTTTGGTGATGCTGAATTATAATGCCGTCTGTCAAGGAGCGTTTAATAGGTAAGTACAAGAGTATTAATGGATGAAATCCATTAAAACTGCACGCCGATAATACTTTGAAATCCATCAGTGTGTTAAAAAAAAAACCAAAAAAAAAAAAAAAAAAAACTGACATGCCCGACAATGCTCCAAAGAAGACGATGCAAGTAGGACCACTGATGCTGAATTGCTCCCCGGCCCATTGTGTAGGCTTGTAATCGTCGCCTTAAGTGTCTTGCTCACAATCAAGAGAAGACGCTTCTGGCAGTGAATGGCTAACAATCACAAAGAACCGCAGGAAATGAGTTTAAGTGTTGCAGAAGCCATTACACTAAGTAGGCTATTGACCACGGGTGGCTTTCACATTGCCTGTCAATCAAATTTTAACAAGGTCATGGCTGACTATACTGTATATACCTTCCTAGATTACATATTTGTTCCAGTAATTTATTAATGATTCACTTGGTAGCAATTTTCTTTCAAGTTGGAGAAAATTGAACTCACAAGTTGAGTTAATGAACTGAATGATGTTACATAAAGACTCTCTATACTTAGCTGGTCACGTCTTTGTCATAGTTGCTTGTTCCTGCAATACTACTGGAGCTCAAATTCCCCGTGTGATTTTACATATTTGGACAAAAAAGATTATTCTGATTCTAATTCCAATGAGAAGGATTTGGAAGAGAAACTAACGCTGTACATAGACAATGCAGTGAACTGGCGATCAGTCCAGAGTGTAGCATGCTGTCGCCCAAAGATGGCTGGGATACACGCAACTTCACTCATGAGGACAATATTCTTAATGAATGCACATTTTTCAAATGTAAAATTTTCGAGCGTATTACTCAGGACGGATCATGGTTTTTTTTTTCGTTATAATAGCACCCGTATTAGATAAGATTGTGTTTTATTTGTCATGGCCATGGGATTCTTGGTCACCTAGTTAGTTAATAATGTTTGCTATTTAAGGACGCTCAGCTAATTTAACGTACATTCTCCATTTTGTGTCTGTCGTCCATCTCTCATAAAAGCCGACTGGATATGTGTCTGGATACATGGGGTGCAATCGGATCCAAGGATGCTATGATTTAAAAATGTTAAAAAAAAAAAAAAAAAAATCGATTCACTTCGTCAAATCAAAATCGATTTTTCGATTCTGATAGTTTTTTTTTTTGTTACATCTCTAAATGGATACCATATTCATGACTAAATAAACAACATCCAGTATTATTGCTTTTTGCTGGAACAAAGTTGAAAGGACAAGACCTAAACACGTGAAAGACAGATGGCTCCGTTCAGTAGCACGATGACGGGCTACAACTTTTCCTTACGAATAATGAGGTCGGGAGTGAAGGGAAGGTGAGGAGGTTGCGGTTTGTGTGTGTGTGTGTGTGTGTGTGTCTGCGTGTGGTGGGGGTGTTACAGGAGCCTTGGCAGAGATGGGAGTGATTACGGCCTTGTGATGAAGAGGGAATGCAAAGGGAGGGCCGGGAGATGGAGCGGCGAAGCCACACGCATTTACAGAGTCGACCTCCTACGCTGACATTAGTTTCCATTGCTTGTCATGTGTTTATACCTGCTGCTATACAGAAGCTCACATCTTGGGCTTCGTGGAATCGGCTTGAGGGCAATGATTATGCACCATCTACATACAGTGCATATTTGCAGGTCGTTTCCTTCCATTCATGGTGGATAGCACGAGTAATAATGAAATATTTGACAGTGCTTACGATGAGTTTTATTCCGTCTCTCTCTGTATATAACACTTAACAGAATACCTTAGGCTGATACAGTACATGTATGTAATTACTGCTACTTGATGAGAAAACTCATATTTTCATAGAAGAATATGTTGGATTTATAAGAAGCAGTGAAAAGGGACCGGCAGAGAGAGACATACGGTAGTAACCGAGTGTGTTCAGAGCTGAGGCTACATTCCAGCAATCACATGAATATATCTGGAATGGAGCCATGTCTCACATGTGAAAGCTATCAGTGATGGTGGACGCGCACACAAGCACACGTTGAGAGCTAATTCTTGAATTTAACTGGAAAGCTGGAATGACTAAATGCGATATCTGCCATGATATGAGAAGCATATGTGTGTGTGTGTGTGTGTGTTTTATGTGCGCAATCCAAACGTATACAATATGACACACCAAAGACTCTTAGATGTCATACACAATTACAGTACAATGTAAAAACGTATTTACTTCCCTTTTAATTTGACTTCACTCATGGAAATTTGACCAGTTATCCTTGAGCAGTACGAAAGCCTGACAAAGCGAAACGTAAGAGGCCCTTAACTAGTTGTCCTGATGTTGATGTCTTCATTTGCTCATTTACCAATCCGCAGTATCATTCGTAGTTATCTTAGACATACGCAATATAGACGAAAAGTATTTTGGCACACTAAACAGCAACGACAGACATCAACAATTGCTTAACGCGCACGCGCGCGCGCGCGCGCACACACACACACACACACACACACACACACACACACACACACACACACACACACACACACACACACACACAGTCTCTAATAAGATTTGTGTCTGGGTGCCTGATGTTATTGTGTATGAAAGTGACGCCTGAGACTCGCAGCCCCATTTGTACGGACGGCCGTGATATCCCTCGAGTGGCCTCAACAACACACTGCTGCTCTCAGCTAAAACGAGAGCGAAAACATTTCGACAAAAATAAACCTGTTTATCTCAACATGCGGCACGTGTATGTACATATTTGCCTGTCAGTCTGCCAAAAACAAGGCGCCGCGTAAAAGTGATGCAGATGTTCTGCTTGCGTTGCGCATTTAAATCATGAGCAAAATCTGACAGCCACTAAAAATCTCAATTACACGTTGCCTCAAAAGCTAGTGTGAATGATGAAAATGAGGTCTGCGTAAATAATATTGTGGCTTTTTTTCCCCATTTTCTCCAGCAAGGGTTTGGTAAAATAATGAGACACTAAATACTACATTGTGCACACCCACTAAAAAGGCGGAATGCATAACCTCATGTTCATTGATTGCTATTGGCTGCCGGGATTGTTTAATAGCAGGAAATTGTTTTGCCGTCCTGAGGCCTTGAGGTGACGGGACCTAATTGTAAAATATGAAAACAACAAAAGGTGAGAGAACGGAATAGTACATGCTTTAGGACGTTTTCAAAACGATATTTGAGATACAATCACACAATTCCATGGATTTGAAATGTGAAATTGCACGCAAACAAAGAATGCTTCAACTAATAATGCAAGGCACCAATATGTAAGAAAAATCCCACAAACGACTTGTGAGGGATCAATGTGAGTGATTTGTTCTTTTGGTGAACACGTGTGAAGTGCGTGGAGTTTACGGTGCTACCCGTAGCTTTCAACGTTAAAACAGCATAATGATAGCAGTGATCCTTGTGGGGAGCGCACTCGGCTGCATTCAATAATTGCTTTTGTAATCTGTGAAGTTTTAGCTAAATCAAGCACGCACCACAAATATCCCAACAACTACCGCAGTGGTTTTGAGAATATTTCTTGTTCTATTTTGCTTTTCTTCTTCTATTGCGTGTACTGGTTGAACACACAAAGACTTTTGTGTTTATGGGAGAGTACCCCTCGACTTCAATGTCTTTTTATTTGTTGCGCCGGCCGCATATGTAAACAGCTGTGCTCAACGGACTGAAGCCGATACACACTGTTAAATATTTTATCTGCTGTAGCGCAGACATGCACAATGATGAAAAAAAAAAAACAGTGTCGAGCATATCAACAAAGTCATGGGAACGTTTTTGTTAACACTAAAAAAAAACCATTGTGATTGCACGGCTGGCCAGGTCAGGGGTTTCAGTTCCACTCTCCTTGCATCACGGACTGTCCTGTAGCTTTAAGACAATGAACAATGACAAAGAAAAGTGAAAACACACTTTGCTCAACGATGCCGTAACAGGAGCAATTTCTATGCTGTGAAAATGTGAGCGCTGCTGCTGTAATCATGTCCAAAGCTATGATCGCATCCAGAAGGCAAACATCTGGCAAGCAGACCCACACAGGCTATTAAACAACTGCAATAGGCAAGAGATCAATTTGCGTCACGCTCTTGGTCGTGATGTCCGCGGAAAAGATGTCAGGCTATAACTTGTGACAGCAAATGAAGTGAAACTGAGAGAAAATGTAGAGCTCGTCCCCGTCGAGTCCACTCATCTGGAAAGATTAATCTCATCGACAAGATGTGGGAGTGCGCCTGCGGGGATTTTCGTTTATTTGTGCAGAACTTCATTTCTGTCATCGACAGAAATGATATCGATATCTAACACCGGATTGATTATCCAGATTGTATTTGACAACAGTTACCTTGCATTTTTGTCGTATTTGTGTTAAACCCGGAGGATATGTCCCGTCCCTTCCCATCACGATCAGGCAGCCGGCCAGTCTTAACACACCGAGGCGATACGGTTCCCTCAAGGTCTCCGCCATCGCCCCCGCTCACTAGTACGCTTTCCCATCAGTTCAAGCCAACAGGCCACTTCACGTCCATTGGTTCCCTTCACCTGTCACAATATGACTGCAGCACTAACATCTACTGGTCCATGAAGGCGAAAGGAGGGCAAGCATTACGCTTGCATTTTTAATGTGGCCTTTGCAACTTTGCTTTTCTCCATTACGGGCGCAAGGAAGTGCTTGTCCTTTTGTTTCTTTGACTTCCTGTATAGGCCAGAGAGAAGGACTGCACTCGCATGATGTATCAACAGTACAGGCTGAAGGAATAAAAAGGACAAAAAAAAAAATGTATGTAGCATTTGATAATTGTGTCTTACGTTTGCCTTCGCCTTGCCTTATTCAATCAGTCACCCATTAAATAAATCCATCCATCCAGGCCTGTTGCGCTGCCCTGTTATGAACCAATGGCTTGTTACCAAACGTTAAAAGCTTGAAGACTAGCAGAAACCTTTACTAGCTATGCGCATTGAAATCTCACTACACCATTTTTGTATATGTTATTACCAAAACAAATAAACAATACAGGAGTGTACACAGATGGAAAGGACTGGTGGGAGCCCCCCCTGACCTAGACATGATAATCCGTGTCGAGACATGTTGCAAATGCCAACAGAGAACGATGATTAACCTAAACCGCAGTCTCACCAGCGGAACGTACAAAGTGAAAGCTTCTAAAAGCTAAACACACACACACACACGCACACACACACGCACACACACACGCACACACACACGCACACACACACGCACACACACACACACACACGCCTCAACATTGGGACTGCCAACCCAGCAAACACACACATTGGAAGACGACCGAACAATAAAACACCAACTGTAAGCATACAGGACAATATTTAAAGACTGAGTGGTGACACGTCAGTTGACTTACAACTGTAATATCATGATTTGAATAAAAATATTCAATTAATTGTGAGCGTGGAGTCAACAGATAAGTATGAGGACACCTCAATCTTAAATGGAGACCGTGAGTATAGCCCTGTGTCGCATGACGTCGTGTATGCTCCTACCTGGCAGGTCACAACCGAGGACCTCCATCCTCATGCCAATTCCAGCAGGCGACCACCTCTCGGGAAAAATTCGGATGTACTGGGTTATTATCTCATCAAAACGTCGCACCTCTGGCGTATCATAGTGGCTGTTTCCCTCAAAAATCTGGCGAAAAAGAAGAATAACAGAGAGTGGTTGATGTTTTGTTTCTTCTCTAGGAATTCTTGTCATAAAGATGAGTGGCAGTACAATTTGATTTTTTTTTTGTGTGGGTAAATGTGGATAAACACGAGTGCTGCTCTGTATTGAGGACCGTCAACAAGAAAATCTGCCTCCGCTGATGACAGACGCTGGCTTGACTGTCAGCTGTTACAGTTCGGATTCTTCTGCTATTTGCTATCAAAGAGCTTGTCTCTCGAGTCATCGCTATTTCGGAGAGTGCAGGTAAAACTGTCAAGAGAATTAAAGCATAAAAATATTGCAGACGTCCCCCTTAAGTCACACGGTCCTGCAACGAACTATCGATTCCCGGCACAGCATGACATGTGCCATAAAAATAACAACAGAGAGAGACAAGATCCTTTGATTGCCAATCAAAGTGGCGAGACGGCACCACATCGCACAGAATTTAAGCCTGCGGAAAATGACAATACGGGCTTGATGAACTGAACTCTCGCTTCTGTCCTCTCCGTGAAACACACATGACGGATTTCCCACGTTGCTCATTTAAAAAGACAGGCAGATGAGAGAAAACGGCAGAAAAGCCAGACACTCAGTAGTACTATCACAGCTCTTAAAGACAGTCTCCTCAGTGAGGAGAGTTTAGAGGGCCCCCGTCTCACAGCGCCTTCGACTGCCAACAGTGCACGGAGTGATGATGCAGGAAAGACAATTTTTAATTACACCCATGAGAGCGGAGTAGGGGATGAGTGAACGAGACGAAGACAGACAGACAAAAACAGCATGAGAGAGAGAGTACAGAAGACTCAATGTGGAGCACCGTGATTAAATTGAATTATTAAAGCGGTAATATATATCATTTCCCAAGAATTACATGGCAGGCAACGAAAGAGGATTTCAAAGTTCGCCAAAATTGCTTGTGAGCTGTGAAGAAAATCAGTTGAACAAGACTCAAGAGTTTCGTGAACATTCAGCAGGATTAGTGTTGTGACAGACCAATAATCCCTGTTTGGAGATGATCGGACTACACGAGCGCTTAAATCTGACAGCAGATGGAGTCGACTAACCGTCCATACAGAATCGTTACCTTCGCAAAGCCCGTCTTACTGTCCGTGATGTACGTCCACTCCTTTCCGGTCAAACTGTGAGCCAGTTTATATTTCCTGACAAAAGCTCGGTTCTCGGCACTGGTGCTGCCCTCCAGCCCTCTTGCACCTTGCGTGATGACGCCACGCACCATCTTGGGCACGCCGAGATCCACCTGCAGCGCAAACAACGTTGCATCTATTGTTCATTCACCTTCCATGGCACGGAATCATAGTGATTGATTACTCTGTCAGTTTAAATTGAGGGACTGAAATAAATGAACTTTTCGACGATAGTCTAACAAGGGTACACCAAACAACCATCCCTCCACCCAACCATTCCATCCATCCAACCTGTCATGTCATCTATCAAATCGGAGAAGTCATACGAAGCCATCAACGTACCTGCAACCATTCTTCTCCGGCGATGGGCTGCGTTGGGTTGGGAAACCATCCTGACCGACTGGCCACAAGCCTGGCGGCGCCCATGGAGCCGTGGATGTCCCTCATGGAGGACGCCAGGATTTGCGAGTCCGCCAGCAGTCCAGACAACATGCCTTGTAGCTCTGAGCACGGAGCGTCTGAATAGAGGAGATGAAATCCGCATGAATATCATATCTGGTGATCAGTGTAAAGTGGACACAACGTGTAAGGGGAGTTCATGAAATGCTGTAGGTCAGATTGCGGAATTGGACATAAGGTTCGTAAACAACAGAATTTACCAGAAGGTCTTCAGATTTTAATACTCCTGAACCTGGTGGGAATTGCTATTTTGCTCATTCCCCGTTAAAATGAGTTTGCAAGGAGATCGAAGATGCTTTGGGTGGGTGTTTTCATTTTTTTTTCTCTCTCAAGACTACTAAGTCAGGGTTGTTTTGATCCTTATTGGCTTTGTTCTCCAATAATTACTAACAAAATGTTCTGGATGCAATCTGCCTCGCATTCCAATGTCAGATTGGATCAGATCCAGCACCGCCCAGCCTTCGAAAGGCAAGGAGGTATCGATAAAGCTGACAGATGGGTGTAGGCTTGATCTCGGAGGGACATTTCTGGTGTGATTTTTCTTTTTAAACTAATCTTCCACTTTGCAGCTCCTCTGAATGGCTTTCCATCAAACCGTCAGAGCATTTTTGCCTTCATGCCGCTACAAAGTCGATGCAAAACTTCAGCCGAGCTACAGGATGCTTTGTGGGGAATTGAGTCCCAAACGGAAGAACAAAATAAAAGTGCGGCGCTGTCAAAGCGATGTGCTTTATTAGACTGACAAATGTGTTCGAGCCAAACGAGAACCACAGGCTTGCATTCATGAATAATAAGGACGACAAAAAAAGGAGGAGCGCCAAAAGAATTTTATTTGAAATGACGGCAGCGATAAAATATGATATAAATATGATTATAAAACGATCATGTGCGAGGATGAGAAGGAAGAGAGAAATGAGAGAAGGAGCTGAAGGACAAGGACCGTAAAGGGCGGGGGGTGTAAAAAAAGCCAAAAAGGTCAAATGAATTTAATGGGGTGTAAAAAAAGCCAAAAAGGTCAAATGAATTTCAAGGCAAGCAAATGCGAAAAGAAAATTAGAAGGCGAAATAAGGATGGGAGAGAAGGTGTGCGTAGAAAGAAGGAAATAAAGAGGGAGGATATTGACAGTGAAGGGTGACGATGATTGATGGTGACATTCTCCGGTTCTTGGCGGAGATGAATGTTTAATGCTGTGATGTTTGCAACCGCACCTCACCGCAGTAAATAATGAATCAACAATAAACAACAACAGCTACCGACACAGTGGATAAGCTCCCTCTGTCGGGCAATACAAACCGAAGGAGGAAATTCAATTATCTTATTGTTCATTTGAAAGTTGTTTTTTTTTTTCCGCAGTTCAAGTCGGAGGTTTTTGTGATGTACACAACTGAGACCAAGAAAAAAAAGTTCACAACTTTATTCACGATTAATGTAATGATTTTTGTCTTTTTGAGAAGGGAACTAAAAATAAAGTGTGCAAACCCTCTTCTGCACCAATCATATTCAAACTCGTGGTAAATGTGAGTCTGTACACACTTGCTACCATTTAAAGTGCCTCTGATTATCCACCAATAAATTTCAGACGTTCTAGTAGGCTTAGCTGACTTCTATTTATTTATTTACTTTTGCTTTATAGCATATACTGTACCTGAAGGTTTTGTGCAAACACTACCTGCTGTTCGAGGATGTTCATAATTCCGCTCGCCTTGTCTAAGGCCCCAATTCTAGCTGATGGAAAAACAGCTCCAAAGCAGGATGCAGCCACTATGGACTTGGCGTCTTTTTGCTGATGAGCGCTGTTGTGTTTGTGCCAAGCACGTTTTGGAATTATGGCCAAATGAATTCCACTGTACATAAAGATCCCATTCACTCGTTGAATTTACGCACAAAGTGAACACATTCCTGAGATCAGGACTGTAGCAGCATACACATACTGATTTTTCCCAAATGTGCACATGAAAACCTCAAGCCAGCAAGCAGAGCGATAAGGGCGCTATAAACAAATGACTGATAGATGCCGCAGGGCCGACATAAAATGAGATTAAAGACGGCGCGAAGGAGGGGTCGGGGGGGAATGAACACTTGAATGAGGCTGTAACGGGCAAAGATTTAAGAGCAGAGATGTGGCGAGAAAATGAGAGAGGGCAAAGGAAAAATATGAGAGCGGCGGCGGCGGAGGCTGAGAGTGGAGGCGATAGATAGGAGAGCGCGAAACGCATGAGCAGGAAGAAAAAGTGAGCAGTGCCATGGAGACGGGATGGAAAGAAAGTGAGAAAAAGGAGAGCGAGAGACATAAAAGTGTGATTTAAGTTAATGGCATGTCACTGTCTGACTCCTTTATGTGCGCCTTTATAGGCCCGCATAGGGCATTATTGTGTCCCCACGGGCACTGTGATAGGCTGTGTGCATGTTTGTCAATATGTCTGCATCTGGGGAATGAAACAAAAGATACTGCGTTACTTGCTGAGGAAGATTTGCTGTGTTCATGAAAACGATATTCGAACTTTTGTGGCGAGAAAAGCTGCGCTTAGTCAGCCTTCAAATGATTTTGCCGAGCAGCTTTCTCATAAATGAATGATTTACTCAGACACTTGACGGATTGGAGATACTGGAGACTGCTAGAACCGTGGGCGGGGCAAGAAGGACTGTGATCATTAATCCCCGGACACTGCTGAATCCCCCTTTCTCATAGCACGTTACTTGTGCAATGTCGGAAAATAGCAGCACATTTCAAGCGCACTATTGTTGCTTGACTGCAGTTCAGTAACCTTACGAAAATTAGCTAAAGCATACTTGTTTAAATTGAAGTGGAAAATCCCTGAGAACGCTGTGCTCGGGAGTTTGTGGACATGGAAGCAATGTTCCCTGTAAATTGCGCATATGAGCAATGGCGCAACACCCCTCAACCCTCAGCGCACACAGAAGATGGGTGACACTAGCACGCACCACACACCTTAAATTTCCACACCGATTTCTTTATTTCTACTGCAGTTTGATCAACAAATGGGACACCACACCATTCCCATTTCTCTTCCATTTTCAGTCGCGCGACCGAGGGTGCACACTTTAAGATTGCGTGGCTTTTGCGTGGCGCTAACCAGTAAAAATGAGCAAATAAATGTCTAATTCGCAAAGCATGCGCAGATAGTGTCACTAACTCAGATGCCAAGTAGAATGCAGCTCGGTGCGCCGGTAGTATTTGCGCATATTTAAATAAGGTAACATGGTCCTCATTGATAAACAATGCCTAATTTACTAACACCAGCGCTAATAGCCACACCCCGTTTTGGGGGAGCAAATGTCTGTAGAAAGCTGGTGTCAAATTGGCGTTACTCATTGGAAGCCATTTTTGAGCGGGAGAACCCATTGCCAGAGCAATGTGAGGGAACACTCGGACATGTACAAGACAGTATGGGGTTTGGAATTTTTTTGTATTATTATTATTAGTCTCCTCCATCTGTACCTGTGAATTTAAAAAAAAAACATGAAATTATATGTATTTGTTGATGGCCGTTTTCAAAGCTTACCCTCATCCCGCGCCAAAGAAGCGGCGAGTGGCATCTCATTGCCAAGTGTACACATCACAAGTTCAAGTACTGAAAAAAAGACAACCTACACCCGCACACATGCGCACACACCAGCAGTATCATATTGTTAGGGTGTGATTGCAGCTTGTGCGGGTGCCGAAATAGCCCCCCTAGATAAGAGCTTATCTGCCGCTCTCAACGGCCACTACAATGGCAGCAGTGAGAGGACCTAACCTAAAAATGATACAGTGAAAGAAACACACACTCTCACACACACTGATTGAAACCTGCCCCTTTACCATTTGTAGAACACACAAACACAGACTCTCTAATTAAGTTTTATCTATTTATAGTATTGAGCTGATTATGCTGGTTGAAATCCCGTTTGTTTGCCAGGGCTGCAGATGAAAGCCGAGAGCCCGTTACTCTCTGATGTAATCACCCACACATCACACTCTAGTATTATTCTATTAGGACCGACTTGGTTGTGTATGCGTGTGTGTGTGTGTGTGTGTGTGTGTGGGAGCCTGTGAGGGAGGATACTGTATGGAATAATATAGGGGAGGGCAAGAGTTTGAAAGCACATGAGAGTGGGTGTGGTGCATGTGAAAAGGATCGAAATAAATGATGGAAAGTCGGAAAATAAACTTTGGATGAATCGACGGACGGCCAAATTGATGATATGAAAGCAGAGAACTAAAAAAGATTGATGCTCATCGTTTTCACAGGAAATGTTTTTTGAGGGGGTTGTTCTTGCACCGACCCACCTTGTGACCCAATGTTAACGCCACTATATCACGCCTATAAAGCTACTGGCATGTTTTTACAGGAGTCCCTGTGGGAGATTGGCCGGAAAACCTCAGTTAAGCCCCCCAAAAAAAAAAAAAAAAAAAAAAGATGCTTCGTCTTTCTTACCTGTAATCTGACAGCCGTAAAGCTCAAACCGCAGTGCGATGCCATTCTTCCATGTTTGAGGTCGGATTCGCACGAAGCGGGCCAGTACCGGTTGCGGAATGCGATTGAGAACCACCTCTGTGGCATCCGTATTTGCATGGAAAACCTGCAGAGGTAGAGGACCAGCAGGAATCAGGAGAGCCAAACATCTGAAATATATTCAATTTGAAGATTTCATACGGGAGTGCTGAAAAATGATAAGAGGAGGTTTATCAGGAATGGGTTCAATACTGTAAAAACAAATTAAATGGAGTCAAATGTGTGTTCATCTGCTAAGAGTAATAACACAAGAGCAATGGGAACCCATAAGGCCCCAAAAGTCTTTATTAGACAAATTTAAACTTCTTGGGAAAGGTGAGAAGACAGACAAGACTGCTGAGAAGTCTTGGATGACGCACTTCTTGGGACTGAGTCTTGATTTTCATCTAATTTACACAGATGTCAAATGGTGGAGCTCCAGCAATACCTGAGAGTCTTTGGCCAAACATACAAAGTACTCAAAACGTTTAAAAAAATAATAAATTAATTAAATAAATAAGTGCTGGAAGCACCTCTGCGGTGCTCCTCTCCATAAATCATAAGTGAGGGTCACTATTTTGACACTCCATTTTGAATCCAACACACACACACATTTTATTTGAAGAGCTGTTTAAAAAAAATAAACATACAATAAAATAGAGATGGGCCATAGTTTTGTGTGTGACTAAACCGGCACTCATTAGTCATGTGGAAAAATACAAGCGTTCGCACAAGAAAACAATTGCATCTTGTTTTATATTCTGCTCACTAACACGGCATTGCTGAGCAGATTCAAATGCAACCCCTCCCAAAAGTTGTTGTCTACACTGGGTTTGTTACAGAAGACCCAAAACAACAACATTTCTCAGGGACTTCAGATGGTCACCCATCCCTTCATTTTCTGGAGAGCTGCTTGTCCTCAGGAGGGTCTCATATACCTCGCCCCCCACCCCCCCAAAAAAAAATGGTGCTCATTTGGCACTAGGGCCAGTGCTGTGCTTAGTTGGTGCTTAACAAGTTCTTAGGAAGAACGAGTTTGGTTTTCCACCGGGAAAGTACCAAGTAGGAGCGACATCATCGTAAAGCATCTAAACGTCACCGACATTTACCTAAGAGCACCTGCGCTATCAATAGTAAGTGGTACAGCGCATCGACCTTACAGTGCAGAGGTCGTGGGTTCGATCCCAGCTCCGGCCTTCCTGTGTTGAGTTTGCATGTTCTTCCAGTGCCTGCGTGGGTTTTCTCCGGGTACTCCGGTTTCCTCCGACATTCCAAAAACTTGCATGGCAGGCTGATTGAACACTCCAAATTGTCCCTAGGTGTGAGTGTGAGCGTGGATGGTTGTTCGTCTATGTGCCCTGCGATTGGCTGGCAACCGGTTCAGGGTGTCCCCCGCCTACTGCCCGAAGAAAGCTGGGATAGGCTCCAGCATGCCCGGTCAGGACAAAGCGGTTCAGAAAATGGAAGGATGGATGGATAATAAGCTGTTAGCATCTGCTAGGCAACTTAGCATAGCATCAATTATACTTGTATGTAGTATATAACAGTCAGCGACGTGCAATCAGCAAACGTTTATCTTTCTTAATCGTAGAGGATCACAAAGCTAGCTGCAAGTCAGAGATTGCTCTCCGAGCACATCCGCAATTGCTTTTCTGGTGGGACACAACTGTGCCGGAGTTCACCGCTCAATCTGTGGTGGTCATGATAACCTCGCCTGTCGCTTCTTGACCCCACCCCCACCAGCCCCTGACGTAGAGGGTACTAGAGTCTGGCCCAACAAATATTTGGGGCTAACTTTGTCAGGTTCAAAAGAACCGAGTAATGTTAAGGATCCCAGAATCATAGACACCAGACAAAACTTTGTAATAAAAAAATAATTATTCACAAAAAACGCACCGACAAAGTAGAAACAGAAACCTCAGGTCAACAATAACCAGGGAAAGAAAAACAACACATTCACAAAAAGCGCTTGCAAAAGGCAAGGAAAAAATTAACCTGAGAACACCAAACGGAACGTCAAGAGTCCAATTCACTCGACAAAAGCAAAGCAAGATCAAATGCCGAAACTAAGACTATACTTACAAAAACGTAGAACCAAGAGAACCAGAACTATTACGACAAGAGCGAGACATCTAGAAAATGAAAATGTGAGCAAGCGCAGCAACAAGGTCAATAATAATCCAACAACTGCAGGCAGTTTGTCAATCCTTAAATACATGGCTGCATGATGAGATCATTGGCCGCAGGTGTGCACACTGAAGGATTGGCTCTAGTCTGCCACCTGCTGGTGACACATCAACAGGCTCAAGACAAACTTAAGTAGCAGTTTCAAGCACCAGAGCTAGAGCGAGAGCCTTTTTTGCTGAAAATACTGTTCTCAGTGCATATTATGATTGATCCCTTTATGGGGTAATGAGAGTCTTTGCTGTTTACATCCACCATTTAGAACATATCTCAGTGTCGTGAATTGTGACTTGCTGAGGTTAGGTTTACATTTCGCAGAAAATGTTCTCCCGAAGGGCTTTTCCTCTCATTTCCATGACATCAGTAAAGATGTATTGTACCTTATATTGCATCATGTATAAGTCTGTGAATGTGTACAGGGAAGGCATTTTATTTTTCGTGCATCAGCAACATTGTAAATGGTGTGAGGTCCTTTCTTGCAGACAAAAATGTTGACTAAGCAAGTGTTAACTCCCAAAGAACCTGTAGAACGTTGCACTGTTGCACACACAGTTGTTCATAGGATGACAATAAGAAGATTTATGACAATTCATTAATATCGATTATGCATAATATTATAACTAGCACCCCCATCATGCATTTCATGTGCTCCTAGAAAGACTGCGGTCTGGGCTCGGTGTCGGGCTCGCCCACAACCCTAGAAGAGTGTCCTTGATCTAACCAGCGATTTGTGTTCACTGTAGTAATTATTTTGTTAATGTGAGGAGCATCCATGCAGTTTAAAAAAAAAATACTGGATGTTCTTGTTTGTTGAACCCTTGCATATACAACGTCATGGCACTGGCGTGTTTTATTAGAGGGAGCAAAAACAGAGGCTACGGTTAATCACCGCAGCACATATTTATGGTTCACGGTGGTCCGTTCACCATGACAAGATCCATAAATAAATATTCCCTCGTTACACACAAACACGGGTTGCATACACAAATGCACTGTCCCGAACGTTCCTCCTCACAAAGAGCAGCGTGAGTGCAAAGGTTAACGTCAAGACTCACACGGTCTGAGGCAACCTTGTGTGTCGTAAATCAAAGGGTGTCAGCACGCGGGAAAGCATCCTCTTCTCACGTCCCCTTGGTTAAACACACATACGCACGAGCAAAGAAAAACACAGTCTTTATTCCTTGACGCACAGTGAGAAGAGAAATAAAACACACACACACACACACACACACACACACACACACACACACACACACACTCTCATCCAGTCTCAACTGTCTTCTAAACACATTCCACAGAACGCACACTGTCTTTCGACTGCTGGTGCCCTCGGAGCCGACACGTCCCACCAAGTGCGCATACACACAAAAACGATTTCTCCTAAAACACACACACACACACACACACACACACACACACACACACACACACACACACACACACACACACAAGCGGATGAAAAGCCAGTGGATGCGGTCTCACATCACCAGAAGTGTTCTTCTCATCATCTGACATCATGACTTAACATTTGCGTCTGTATCTGACAGTGTCATGTACGTTTATGGCTGTCATCTGCGTTGGGCTCGGTTCAGGCAAACACAGCTGGGCTTCTCATTTAGTATTCTCTTGCCTATTTCTGGCTTTTACTTTGACGTCTTCACTCTGTCTCCCCGTCATGATAACATGTTCATCTCGACATAAAATACCTCCTGTTGTTTCACTACAGCTGTTTCTCCTCTGTGCCTCGCTCTTCCGTTACAGCGGCGTCGGAAACAACATGGTGAGAGTGCAGTAAAGCCCGTCCACCAGAGCCAAAGGCCTCGCAATTACTTGCTTGGGTACTCATTTAAAGACGTTTGCCTTGTTTTGTTTTGAGTGTTTCGTGTGCGCGGATTCATCATTTCTTCCTGGTTCCGAACCATTAAACAACGGAAGCCTTCAGGGTTGAAAAAGTGTGAATAAAGAAGCTCTCTGATTTACAAGAGAGCGATCAAGGCACTGGGCCAACTGAGGATTGAACCCACGACCGAACGGGGGTACGATACGAAGGCAGACTCACTGAACCGGTACCCCTCTAATGGCCTCAATGCCAGTTAAATGATGGAAAAATGCCAAGAGGCCCCAAAAGACATAATGGGAGAGCAATTACAAGCGTGTGTGAGTGTGTCACCGGGTAAAAAGTATAATTATAAAGTCTGACTCTGAGGATTTGGGGCTGGTGGTGGCTTTCTGATTTCCCTCGGTGGCCAGTGAAACATTTCCTCAGTAAGCTCATGTACACAAATACACACGGAGCTTTGTTCGGGGTCACCAAACAGAGCTGCAAATGGAGAACGGCTTCCACTGTGACCAATGTTGTTTTACAACCCCTAAGTAAATGCAAATCCCTTTAGTGCAAGGCTACTGTGCATATTTAACACAGTGACCTTATCTTGAGCTATTAATGCTTTTTTTTTTCTTTTCCTAATACTGGAATGGCACTCTGACTTCTGTCCAGACCTTCACAGATATTAACTTTGGGAATTAAGATTGTCGATGAAATGACAGGGAATGTCAATGCCAATTTTTTCTTCACAATGCCATGTTCTATGCGCCCCCACAAATATAATAAAAGACCTCGGCATACACGGAATAAAGCTTTGTAATGTGATATAGTTGTGAAAACAACTGCTTTGCCTGTCTGCTTTCCATGGAGGATTCCCATGTACGCTACCACTCACGACCAACTTTTTTGAAGGTAGCGTGGGTTCAATTCCCACTCAGAGTCGGTATGAATGTGAGTCTGAATGGTTGTCTGTGTGCCCTGTGCCCAACCAGTAACCGGACCGGCGCGTCGTCGGTTTTAGGCCAAGGTCAGCTGTAATACACTCCAGCTTTCCGGGAACCTGAACAGGATCAGGGGTATAGATAATGAAGGACTATTTTCCTGAAGACAACTGTGTGATCACGCGAATGAATTATTCATGTCCAACCTGGTGTTTGTATACACACATTAACAACCGTGTTTTCGGCTCCGCAAGTGAGCATTCACTGCGGGAGGTGCCAGGTAATAGGTAGTCACCCGCCCAGCTCTTAAACTCCTCAATTTACTGTTAACAATCTCTAAAATGCTTGGATGGCAATCAGCTAATGGACTGTGTGTGTGTTTTGTGAAGCTTCGTTAATGGACTGATGTTAACAAGAAAGGACCGGCTGATACCAGGATCGCAACAGCGTTCCATTCCTTCGGCAGCGATATAACGACAAGATAGAATGCGCTGCAGTCCCACGCTAACGTAGGAGTAAAATCATAATTACAGTCAATATTTGTAGGACATTAAAATCAGCACTTCAGAATTAGTAGAGGTACAGTAAAATATTAGCAATCGGGCCATTTCTTTCCGCAACCAGATTTCAAACATGTTCTCTCTCCCATGGGCCAGCTCGCTAGACCTCCATGACATCAGAATTTTTTCATCCTCTGGGTGATCGGTCAGAGCTACACTTGCTATACAGCCAACTTCAGGTAAAAATACCGTCTGCGAAGGCTGTGGGTTCACTCGTGAGAATAAAGAGACCATGACCAGGACATTGAACCACAAGTTGCTCCTGATGCTTTGCCATCAGTAGGTGAATAAAGGAGGCAGCGTTAAAGTGCTTCGAGTACAGTCAAGGTCGAAAATATACAACAAGTGAAAAGCCAAATCTTTGTAAATGATGAAAGGTGATAGAGATGCAGAAGTAACGGAAGTAAACAATGTTTTGCAGGTACCCACGACTAACTTGTGTGTCTGTCGACTAACTTCGGGCACCGAGCGCATTAACAGAGCACGAGCAAGGAATACAACGAGCTCACCTAACTGAAGAGCAGGTGTGTCCAGTTTTGTGCGTGCGGTGTCGTGAGCCTACGGGTCCCTGCTACAGTCAGCCCAGCAAGAACCAGTGCAGACACACTGAATTATTCAAAAGTCTAGGATGTGCGTCTTTTGTGAATATGTGTGTGGACAGAGTTATAAAATAGTAAAACGTCTTCCATCTCCTCGCATCTCATCACACACGCACAGACGCACACGGCGGGACAGTTCATTTGTATTGTGTGTATGTGTGTGTTGGTGTTCAGTCCAAATGTTTTAGAAAGGAAATGATACATGACTACCTGATAATTTCCCCATTTGTCCTTTTCCTCTCCATTTCCTCACAGAGCGTCTTCATTCATCACGTCTGCTTTGACCTCAGCCTCCCTCTTGATTTCTTCTCAACTCCCAGCCTTCCTCTCCATGTACTCGCACTTGTCCTTTTATTTTCTCTCCCCTCTCTTCACCTCCGCGCCGGCTACGTTCCGGAGGCCAGCGGATCTATCTAGAGACATCTGCGCCGGCAACACCCTCGTCTGCTATTCTCATTATTCCCCTCCTGCTCCCTGGCGCCATTCGCGCTCCCATCCATCCATTCCAACCTCATTTCGTTCCCCACTTTCCGCCTCGTGTACACTTCTTTCCAGCCTTCTGCCATTTTTCCTTCACTCGCTTCTTCCCAGGAAACGTTCTTCCTCGGGGTTCCCGACTCACTAGAGCGGCTCTGTCCACTCTATCAGCTCAGTGAACCGCTTGATCTTTTGTTTGCATTGCTCTTAGTTAGCTGCAAGTCACAGCGTTTTCCATATGTCTCATCTGGCTGACATTAGACCCAGGATGACATTATCAACTACATTACTGATCACACAAATCATTATTGCATGTTGACAGTTGCGCCTCCCCGGCGGGCTCTCTCTCGCTCTCTCTCTCTCTCTCTCTCTCTCTCTCTCGCCAGATGTTAACATGCATTCCATATTTGTATATGGTCATAGAGTGCGCGTTTACTCTTCTGCCTGTAATAAACAGTTGCAATTGCGATAAGTGCTTTCTACTCAGGGCAAAATCAGCTAATGCTCATTATACGTCGACCTTCTTTTATGTTTCTTGCTCATAAAATACAAATGGCAACGATTCGCAGAGATTAACGGTCATTTACTCCGGCAGCATAAACTTCTCCCATTGTCTATTCGCGGAGGGGAAGGTAATGGAAAAGCTGAGAAGTGGACACGAAGGGGGGAAGGATAATGCAAATGAGAATGTGAAGGGTGTGCATGAGCGGTCAAGAGGGAGCCCCTGATGGATGGAGAGATTTACAGAGAACTCAAGAAGGAGTGAATAAATGAAAACGTCTGGAATGTGGTCATTTTATTAGGGACTGTCATTTTTTTTTTTCGACTTGAAGGAGCCTGTAGCCGCTCTCTAAGGCATGTCGGAAAACAATTATTTTCTCATCTGTCATTCATATAAAAGGTACATTTTTTTAACTAAATGCTTCCATCTCAGCCTGTTGTAATGGGATCCATACTCGAGAAAAAAAAAAATCTTTTTGACCACTGTTGTTTAATGATTTATGCATTATAGCCGCTGACGCCATTTAGAATGCCGCCGCTTCCCCATGTGAGGTATGACAACTGAGAAGAGCCATCGGGCGCCGGATGATACAAAAATTTCATCAGTAGATAAATTGTCAGCGGGTTCTCTCTCGTGAGCTTGGTCCAAAAATGTTGCTTCATCTTTTATGACTTCATCAATAACACTGCAGCATTAAAACCAGTGGGAACAGTATCATCTAACAAATGAAAGAGGTAATGACCCTGAGCGGAATATTTACATGACAATGGCCAAGAAAAACTTTTTTCCTCTCGCATTTTGGAAAGTTTCGAAACAATCCACAACCAACCACAAGGACTGTTAAAAATATGCCAATATGTAATAGTAATATGTATGCCGGGTCAGTGGTAAGCAACTGCAACTTTGTCAAGGAACACAGAATTTGATCTAAAAATGTCAGTTAAAGCCTGGCATTGGTTCACCATTTGTGTTTTTGTTGTGGCGTCCTTGCACATGCCAAGATCTCTTGTCTTCCATTCTTTGTGGTATAAAAAAACATCCTTTTGAGATCCATTTTCACTTCTTCACTTTCTTAAGGCTCCAAACAATCGAAACAAATTTGAGCATGTCTCTCCTTTTTGATTCAAGTCGGCAAAAGCCCGACTATCAGCTGTCTCAACATTTTTGGGGGATTATTTGAAATGATTCTCCTGCTGTGTAGGGGCTGCTCAGAGTGTGTCCCCCCCCCCCCACCCTCCCCGATCTGGTCGGAAAATTATGAATGTTAAACCTGTTTAACTGAGATGGCAAATCCTTATGCGTATGGTTTCTGGCATGTGCGATGTTTGCGGCTGCAATGGGCTGCGTAGCTGTGGGGGGTGACCCAAAATAAAAAAGCATGGGGCATGCATTGACTTCTATTGTCTATTATGATGAACTCTCTGTACATTACGTACGTTATTTCTAAAGGCAAATCACGAGAGCCCACCAAGTGTGCAACGCTAGAATGTAGTGCTGCTTATTATGCAGCCTAGCGCCTGCACAGTCACAATATGGCAAGTGAGGAGGAACACTCTTGGAAGCACCATTATCATTCAAAAATGTCTCTGACTCACCAGGGCTCCTTCAAAAATGGTTGTCAGACGCAATATGTGAGTGGGTCTTTTTGTGAGGGGATGTGTGTACAAGACAAGGGGATGGATATTTTCACCATGTCAGCCCCTCCCCCCCAACCCCCAAAAGATATAACTCAGGCAAAACAGGAGTAGCACACGCTCGCCCCATCTGTGTCGCTGTCCGCATTCAGCTGTGAAACAGCTTTCTATGGTTATGGTGGAATCAAGCAGGATTATGGGCGCTGGTACCAACCACAAAACATCATCATCCAATTGAGTTCTTTCCACTTCGACATGAACTCACCCGCATGCTTCATCTATGAAAAATTCAATCTCCAAAGCCTCATTACCATCCCTCGACATGCTGTTTTTTTTTTCTCTCTTTTGCTTTTAAGCAACCAAAAAATAGAAATAGGAGTCTAAATCAATCCCATGGCTTTTGCAAACCTTTTGGGTTTGCAACTCCCCAAAAAAACATAAAACGTCAAGCATGCTTTCATTGCTTCTCGAGTTTCCCCCTGTAGAGTTTTAAGATTTTGTATGGATTTTCCAGTCTAGCCCTAGACATAGTGATAGACCGCAGGACAATATGTGTGGACCGCTAGCACGGGAGGAAAGTCTGTGATGGTAAAAACGGCCACAAGCTCTGGACCAGTGCAGGAATGCTTTTTCCTTTTAACCGCGGTGGCAGTGATTCTAAGACCCCTGAGACCATCTGCTTGTATTCTTCGCAGCATCTCTAGACTGGAGTGTAACTCGAATGCTTTACCACCTGAGAGAAGCAGCTTAAGAGTGTTCACACAGACAGTCAGAGCGTTTCACAAGTAACTAACAGTAATCAGATGTGATGGGGAAAGCAGATTGTGCAGTGTGGTCACATGCGATGATGTAAGGTATCATTAGGAGTTTCGGAGACGTGTGCTTGGTCGTTAAAAGATAAATAAAGAAATTAAGCCGAATGAATGATGGTGGCTGTATTTGCAGGTTGGATTTTTTGGGGATTGTGGTCAACGTGTTACTGAATATTCCGTCTCGTGTTTCTCTCAGCAATGAGCGCACATGCCCGTGTCATAGCCTCAGCGTCACCCAAGATCATCCAGACTATTTGTAGTTGCCTTTTTTTCCGACCCGTACTCGTGAAGGATTACGTGAATGCGGGTGGGCTCTGACCCTACCTTATGATTCTTGCCGTGTCTGTAAACCATCCAGTCCTCGCCATTGGTGCTGACCTCCAGCTTGAAAGTAGTCACAAAGTATGACTTTTGCGTCTCCTTGGAAATGGCGCCCTGCATGGCGATGCCTGTGATCACCTTCAACGTGTAGAGGTCCACCTGTTAGCAAATATAGGAGGAAACAAAATCTGCGTCAGGATAATACTTGGCTATTGAGTTACTGAGACCCCGAAGGATGACAAATGACAACCTGCTGGGGGTAAATTTTACACAGATAAGAACGTGGGATTTCCCCACATTCAACTTGATTTGATATGACTGCTTCTGGCCCTGCATGAAGACAGCACATTTATGCAAATGTTCATCAAAATGTAATGGTGAAGATCACTGGAAAATGACTTTGCCATTGTAATAAATCGGCATACAGTATACTGGGAAATCTGACAAGAGGTTGCACACAAACAAATAAACAAATGACAACATGATTTCCATGGATGATAAAACTTGCCAACATGGAAAGAAAGGTGGAGTGAACATAAAAAAAGAATATAAAATCTTGCATTCCCATCTGCGCTAATCTATATTTAACCTAATTGAAATTCAAGTCCGTGACTCTGAATCCTTAAACTGTCAACGGGCCCTCACAATTAATGTCTTAAAGTGTGGAAACTGCCTGAAGACAGACATAAACATGCAAATACGGACATCAACTATTCAGCAACCATTTCTCACCTTCCCCACTCTGCTTTTATGCTCCTCATCTCGCTTTCTGTCTTGCCTCGCTCTCTCCTTTGGCAGATCGATAGTGATGACCAGGGGCTCATTTTAATTTCCTGCCATACAATAGCTATAATCACCTCTCCAGCCTGATTGTGGATGCTACGCCGCATGCGGGACCCGCTGCTGATACATGTGGCATCTTACCTGAACTGCATTTTCGACCTTGCGTCTGCTCTTTGTCGGAACATTTTATGTATTAGGGACATTTCCTGGGATTGGCTATAGCTCAGTTCAAGAAGTGAAGCCTCACAATGACTTTCAGTAACCTTGCTAAACCACTCTGTATACTTTGTACAGAATGACCTATAGGGGCCGTGTCCATTATCACATTGTTAGGTAATAATATTAAATATATATATATA